GAAAACAACTCCTTAAAAAGTAGAATTGGCCAAATGAAAAAGGAGGCATAAAAACTCACTGAAGAGAAGAACTCTTTAAAAATTAAAATGGGTCAAACTGAAAAGAAGGTACAAAATCTAATAGAATAAAACCATTTGTTAAAAATCAGAATGTGGCAAGTGGAAGCTAATGACTCTATGAGAGAGCAAGAATCAGTCAAACAAAAACAAAAGAATGAAAAAATAGAAAAAAACGTAAAATACCTCATTGGCAAAACAACTGACCTGGAAAATAAATCCAGGACAGACAATTTAAAAATTATTGGTCTACCTGAAAACCATGATGAAAAAAATAGCCCGGACAACATCCTTCAGGAAATCATCAAAGAAAACTGTCCTGAGGTCCCAGAAGCAGAGTGTAAAATAGTCATTGAAAGAATCTACCGATCACCTCCTGAAAGAGATCCCAAATTCAAAATGCCAAGGAATATCGTAACCAAATTTCAAAATTACCACATCAAAGAGAAAATACTGCAAGCAACCAGAAAGAAACAATTTAAATATCATGGAACCACAGTCAGGATTACACAGGACCTTGCAGCTTCCACATTAAAAGACTGGAGGGTCTGGAATATGATATTCCACATAAGGCAAAGTAGTTTGGATTACAACCAAGGATCAATCACTCAGCGAAACTGAGCATAATCTTTCAGAGGAGAAGATGGACACTCAATGAAATAGGGGACTTCCAAAAAGTATTTCTCTTTCTCTCTTCCTTATCCATCTTCTCTTTCTGTTTATTCAGTCTAAACCTTCATTCTCTGTTTACGTTCAAGGTCGTTGAGAGTTTCTGATATTTTTGGTACTTTCAGTCTCTCCTCCCCACCCTCCATCTTATTTTCCTTATCACTCACTTCCTGACTCCCTCTCCTCTTATTGTGGTTTCTTTAGGAGCTGGATCTCAAAGCATCTCACCCTCCCCCCTCCCCACAAGGCAATTCATGGTTCACCAGCTTAAGTCTCTACCCAAACTGACTTTTGAGTGGTCAGAACTGGCCCCAACTAGATGCTGTGCTCTCTTCCTCAGGTGTGGTGGAAAACTGCATAGCTTGCCAAAGGCAGAGTCACTTGTCTTGGTGACCTGTCCCACTCCCTCTGCTCCTTAGTTCTCTGGCCTGACAATTCAGAGGCAGTTTTCCCCAGCACTAGCAATTCAGAGCTTTGTAGCACCAGTACTTCCAGGTTTTTGCTCCTTAAGGGCTATGGTGAAGCTTGCTATCCAGGCCCAAGCCAACTTCTGCAACCTACAGTCAGCTTCCCCATAACGCAAGAAAGAGGGAGGGAGGACCAGAGCACAAGAGTAGGTTTTGCTGTAAGTTAGGATCATGTCCTCGGATCCGCAACGGCAGCCCTGCTGCCAGAATCATGAAAAGTGGAGGAGGAGTACTGAGTGAGCTTAGGGTCAATGAACAGCAGTTCCTGGGGGTTTTGTTTTTTATTTGTTTGTTTTTTCTTTAGCCTTTTTTTTTTTTTTTTGGTTTCTGGGTACCCCAGACCATGGAGAAAACTGAAGCTGTTTTATCTTTGGCACATAATTTCTGTTTTGATGAGGTTTCAGAGGTTGTGGGGATCCAAGAAAGTGCCAAGTCCACCATCTTGTGGCTCATGTGATCCAGCAGCCTTCCATTTAATTTTTGAAGCCCTATATAACCTGGCTCCATCCTATCTTTCCTAGATGTTGTTCCTCCTCCTACTCTCTGCAATCCAAACAAACTGGCCTTCTCTGTTCCTCACACACAACACTTCATCCCCCATCTTGTGCTTCTGTACTGCCCATCTTCAATCCTGGAAAGCACTACCTCCTTACCTCCACCTCAAAGTCCCTCTCTTCCTTTAAGGTGTGGCTGAGACACCATTTTCAACATGAAGCCTCTCTACTTAGCAGTCCCTGGCACATACTAGGCACTTAATAAATGCTTATTCCCTCCCCTTTCCTCCAATTGTCATGCCTTTTTCTCAAACTACCTTGTATTTAACTACTATGTATATATTGTTATTTATTAACTTTATATTTATATTGCATTTATTTTTATGTGTGTTTGTCTCCCTCATTAGAATTGCAAGTAGGGATTATTTCATTCTTTGTACTTGTATTCCCAGAGCCTAGCACAGTGCATAATAAATACTTGCTGATTGATTATCCTTGCTTGAAGGAGCAGCCAGAACCATAAATGACCACTCAGTTCAGGGAGGAGAGCAAAATAGTGGTAAGAAAATAGAGACCCTACTATAGACCTGAGGCCTTTGATGGTGAGGGATGGGGAGAGACTTTGACCTAGCTTCTATTTTAACCAATGATTCTTGCTAAATTGGGGGGGGGGGGGGGAGATAAGTAGAGTTTTGGGGGAGGGGGAGAGGTGTACATATATACAGATTTATATGTACATACACACACACACACACACGTACACTGCTGAAGGACTGCAGTTCTCTCACCGCCTTTGCACAAAGTCCTAGCTGACCTGCCCTAGTTATAGCTCTAAGAGCAGCTGCAGTCACATATCATCAGTCAGGACCCAGGAGAATTTGTCTCTCTTGTTACAGTCCTGAAAGAGAGATAAAATGCTTCCTTTTAATCAAGTGACTTATCTCCTACTAGCGTAGATTTAGGGAAAGATTTTCTCAAGGAAGCAGTAATAAATGGAGAAGGAAAGAACAGAAATTAATGAATGTGGTAATTATCCCCCAAAGTTGCAAATTAGAACAATCCCTCTCTTGGAGACAAGTATGAAAAACAAGATTAAAATGCTTTAGGGACATATTCACAAAACAGCAGGTAATAGAACAGATAAAATGTATTTACAGTACCTCACTAGGGATGTGTACCTTTTGGCTAATAGCTATCAGATACTAAACACTACTGTAAAAATAATATTCTTCCATCCTTCATTACTGAGTTACAATTATCCATAGGAAAAGCAGCAACAAAACAAACTGTCTCCAACAGCAAATGGTAGAGGTTTCAGAGAGTTAGGGCCTCTTGACTAGAGTCCATGGACATGATGCAGGATGGAGAATACAAAATAACACCATCAACAACTGACATCTATTTAGAACTTTGAAGCTGGCAAAGGGCTTTACATAAAGTATTTCATTTGGGACTCCCAACTACTCTGTGAGGTATATATTAAAAATATTGTTATCTCCACATCTGGGATGAGGAAACTGAGGCTCAAAGATACTATATAAACCATCAAGAGTCATCCAGCTTCAGGGGCATCAGAGACAGGCTTTGAATACAGATAGTCCTCACTGCAAGGAACGTTCTCTATTCACTATGTCACACGGAGAACAAGGTGGAATTTGGAAGTATCCACACCAGGAATGACCACAGCACAATAAAAGGACAGCCACAGAGCACAAGTCCATAGCCTACTTAACAGACTGCAGTGTTGGCTGACAGTAGTGATTTTCTGAGTGTCAATCTCAAGATATCACTGCCTTCTGAAAACCAAAGCAAAATCGTCAAGAATGTCACCGGCCAACAGCAAAGCCCACTGCTGACAGCACGATCACAGCCTCCCCATGAACCCCACAACCATAGAAAAGCAATGAAATTAACTGAGCCAGCTCTTCCCCTGTGGTGCTCCAATGAGCCCTCTCTGGTCTTATTCAAAGATGACAATTAGGGACCAGACCAACATGCTACTATTTTAATTATCAGGTATAAAGAGAAAACACCTAGAATCCAACATCTGCATGTTCTTCAAATACACACACACACACACACACACACACACACACACACACACACACACA